CCAAAGTCCAGCTGGCCCTTTGCCACTAGTGCAGGACACCCTGGTGGTGATCAGGGCCTGAGAGGGACCCAAGGAACCTAATGCAGATGGCAGAACAGCCTGACCTTCCAGAGCAGCAAGGTTACTTACTGGGTTGACAAAAGAGGCAAAAAAGTGTCAGCATACAGTGTTGATAAGGATGCAGGGAAACTCCACATCCTTTGGGAAAGTAAACAAACATCTTTTCAAATTAAAAGCACACATACATACCTTTCTGCCCAGCAATTCAACTTTGACCAAACCTATTGTATTGAATAAATAAAAATGCTGGTACATGATGTTGTTTGAACAGGAATATTTATGAACACAATACTTATACAGTACAAAAAAATAAAAAACCTTGAAAAACTTAAATATCCATCAATAGAAGGAATTATGTAACCATTTAAAAGGAGATATTTAGCTATTGCTCTTGAGAAATTTGGTTGCAGAGAAATACATATTACAATTTTGCAAAAATGAAATAAAGCAAAACCCAAAACCAACCTCCATATATGCATGTGTGTATATGTGTATAGCAGCATGGGGAAAGGCATGGAAGAACACTTATCAGCCTGCTACCATTTATTAGTGGAGGGAAGATGTTTTCTTCCCTCTCTATACTCTGGAATTGCTTCATTATTACAATAACTTCATTACATTTTTCAATGTTGGGAGAGGAATTTAAGATAAATGGCGGGAGTGAGGGCGGGGGCAGGGAAGAGAAATTGTGAAGGAAGATAGAGAAGAAATCCTGTGCTGGAAGAACCTGGCCACTCCAGTTGGGGGTTTGCAGAAAGAAAAGCCAGGAGTCTGGCCTGGACACTGAGCGGGGTGGGGTGGGGTAGAGTCCGGACGCAGTCAGTGTTGAGCGACCTAGCTATTTGAACCCAAGGAGCTTATCTAGAGAATCTTTTGAGAAGGCCAGAGAGGACCATGGAGCACTGGGTAGTAGCCTGTAGTAAGAGGAATTTAAAACGCTTTACCATAAAGAATAACTGCTCCCAAAAAATTAAAAGAATGAGGTTCTCAAGGTTATTTTGAAGAATTCGGTGAGATCCACCTGAGGAAATTAAATTAGTAACACCTAGCAGGAGGTAACTGGCATGTTGTCTGAAGGAACTTTACCTCTACTATCTCATTTGATACAAGGTACAATCCTACGAGGTAAGTGTGATTATCCTTATTTTACAGAGGAGGAAACTGAGGCATAGCGGGGTTCAGTAACCCGTCCATGGTCATGCAGGCGGGCACAGAAATCTTCCGGCTCCGAAGTCCTGGCTCTTGGAAGCCACACTGAAGGCTGCGTCTTTCCAGGGCTCAAATCTGGACAGAAAGATTACACTGTCCTCCCCTCACCCGGTGGGGGTGGAGTGGGGAGAAAGTGCCTTCTCCGTGCGCGTGCCAGCGTCCCCGGAGTTCGGTGGGGCCAAGCTGAGGTTCCTCTCCTGGGGCTGGGCAGGATTTGGGTTCGCTTTTCTCACGCCGGCTTTCGGGTTTGGGGGCGGAGGCTGCCCAGGCGTTACCCTCCAAAAGGGCCCCTGCAGGGGGTGCTTTCTCTATACTGTTCTTCTCTTGGGTAGTGGAGGGGTTGGTGGGGGAACCACAAGCTACAGGATTACAAAGTTCCTAGACTCCCTAGCCTAGGGAGGTACAATGACTTGGGACCCGGTGTGGAGATGGGGGTGGGGTGTCTTCCGGAGCCCGAAGCAGGCATCCTCAGCTGCTCCTTCCCATTCCTGTCCCCCACCAACCCCCACCTCACCACTTCGTTTTCACGTCTGGGAGGGGGGCGGGGGGCGGTGATGGGGAGGAGACCAACGCTTTGATTTCCCTTGGTAGGTGTTCTGAGTGGTCAGGGATCCAGGGATCCTTCCCTCGAGTGCCCCTGGGTCGGGCGGTAGACCGCTCCAGAGGATGGACAGCCGGCGAGCAAAGCTAGAGTTCGCGTATTGTAGGGAAAAGTGGGGGTGGCGAGGAGAGAATGGTGGAATACCTTCCTGATATTTGAGGGAGAATTCGGCAAGGGGGAAATCTCTGGTTCCATCTTTGCCTGATTCATCGGATTTCCTGGGGTGGGGTTCGGGAAAGGCCTGGGGGCTGGCGCTCCTGCCTCGGTCCGTCCAACACCAACACTCCAGGCCCCTGCGGCCCTGGCCCTCTGGGGTTCTGATTACAGTGGAAAGATCTCTGGATCCGCTGAAGGAGAACCTGTGTCGAGATTCTTGTGCTCATTTGCTTCTCTGGGGGTCCTGAATGAAAATAAGTACCGAGGTCATCTTTGTTCCTTAGCTCTGGCCCAGAGCTCTATCTCCGTCTCCAAGTTTCTCCATCATCTCCTTCTGTGTTTCAGGTGATCGCCCACCTCTCTTCCCTTCTAACTCTACTTCCGGATCTTTTCCCCCCTCCTTTCTCCCTGTGTCCCCCATTTTCCAGGCGCCAGTCCTTTTTCTCTTGCCAGTTTCCTCCCTCCCTCCGATTTCCTTTCCCACGGGCCCTGGACTTCCTTGGGCCCAGGCCGGGCTCTGGAGCTGGCCTGACATGTTCACAATAAGGATTGTAAGACACTGCACTCAAGTGAACTGCGTTGTCTTGAACCTACTCGGACAGGGGATGTGATGAAGGAGGTCCTTGTCTAATCCCAACAGCTCCTCAAAGGCTCGAAGCCAGCCTGAGTGGGCCACTTGAAGAGCCACGGGCGGTGGGAAGATACGGAGAGGCTGCTCCGACGTGGGGAGGAGATAGGTATGACGATGTCCTCTGTGCGTCAAGCCCACTCCGTCCCACTCCCAATACTCCCACCACCTCATCAATGGGGCATGCTTGCCCTGGTTAATGTCATCTCCCTGCACTGCCAACAAGGCTAGCCGCTTTGCTGCTTAAAACAGATAACATCAACGAACATATGGAGATGTCATCATGATTAAACAGCAAATTATAGTCGAAGACGGTGCGATAATAATCCAAACAATCACCACAAGAAGAAGAAACGTTCTCTAACGCTCCAGTTGCAGAAGCCTGCTTTTCCAAGACTAGAGGCCCTGCATTCCCAGGGATGTCTCCGTGCTCACGTGAGCGTGGCCCTCGGTTTGGGACAGGCAAGGGAGCCCCAGACAGGACAATAAGGTTTGGAGATTCCCGGGGCGACCTGGGACTCCGTGGTGTGGGGGCTTGGAAGCGCGTGGAGGGGCTGAGAGAGGGGAGAGGGCGCCCTTCCTCTAGGGCGGCCCCGCCTGGGAAGCAGTCGGAACCGCAGTAGGAGCCAGGGGTTCCTAGAGAAGAACCCTGTTGGGAGAGCAAAAGAGCCCGCGCTCCCAGTCCCCGCCCCCTCGCCCCTTCTGCCCCGCCCTCAGCCTGCCTCTTCCTAGATCTTCCAGGAGATTGCTTTCTGAGTGGGAAGCCCGCGCTGCTAGGGGAGGGGCGTCCTCTGCGGGTCGTGGGGGTCTCCCTTCTCCCCACAGTCGGAGCAGAAGGGCGCCTGCCTTTTATTCTGACAAGCAGTGGGCTTGGTTGTGAGCACTTGTTTGCCCCCAATATGCAGAGAAAAAGATAGTGATAGGAGGCGGCGTGCTATGATGGCAAAAATGGAGAAGACCCTCCCTCTTTATCCTGGTTCTCCTCCTCCTCATTACATAGATTCGTATTTAAGATAAGCACAGACATTCTAATTTGAATTCCAGGGGTTGAACTCAAGTTAGAATCATCCTATTTATACGCAGACCGAAAATAACCATTGAAAGGAAAGCAACAAAATGCAACTATTTTCCAAAACCCCGAGCGTTTGCTGGCGGGTGACCACCCCTCGCAGGTAGCGAGGTTCTGCTTTGGTTTTGACGGAGAACCCGGGATCCACCGAGGAGGGGACTGGGTGGGAGTTAGCGGGCGAAACGATTCCCCAGAGAGGCCCCGAGCGGCGCGTGCGTGAGCGCGCGGCCGTAATATATGCTGCCATTAAGAATCGTTGCAGCTTCCAGCGCTCCGGGCGCAGGGACGCATGTGTTGCTGGAATTCAATCCGTGGGGGGAATGCAGATTGGGCTGCGACCCACTGGGTTTGATTTATGAACTGTTACACTAGCGATTGTTTACACATTGCATTTCAGAGCCCGGGCGCACCCTCCCCGCAGCGGACGGCGGGCTTCTCCGTGTAGGAACCTGCTGCAGCCCCCTCGGTCTCCCTCTATTCTCCTCCCTTCCTCCCACCCCCAGGGCCCCCGCAGCTTCCTCCCACAGCCACCTTCTCCAAGAACTCAGATTTCGATTTCGATTTCTCTGAACCCATAGACCTACATGTAGTTCTTTCCCCCCGCCCCGCCCCCCCCCGCCTACTCCAGGCCTACAGCCCCCGGACCCGGGTCGCCTCTGCCCCTGTTTACTCCGGAATGTTTACTTCTCCGTAAGGCCATGCGGGGCCTATAAATAGGAGAGGTGGAAGCAGCCCCACTGCCAGATCAATAGGGCCCGTCTCCTCGCCATTTCAGCTGAGCTATCTTATTAATTATGAAAGGATTCACCTGATCCCTGCCGGGGAACACAGCCTCTCGGCCCCTCTGCTGGAGCCCTTAATGGCGGTTCCTTCGCAAGCTGCCCCTGGCCACCGCAGAGGAAGAGGCGAATCGTGGTTAGGGCCAGGCCTGCAAGGATGGTGGTTAGGGCTCCGACCCGCCTGAGGCGGGGGCAGCCGGCCGGCCACTGGCATTGTCTGCCTGTGCGAGCAAGCTCAGTTTCTGTAAACCTCAAATAGAACGAATCTCTGCTTTGTAATAATTAATTTAAAAACAACTTTCATTTTCTCTTTTTTAAGGGAGCAGGGTTTTGGGGAAGTGGCCAAGTGGCTTAAGTGAGGAGGGTCTGCTTGAAGGTGGCAGGTTTTCAGAGGCTTCCTGAAGAGGTGAGCTTGTCACTGGCATCCCGTGTCCCTCCAGGTACCCTGAGAACTGGGCCAAGGAAGCAGGTTGGGGTAGGAAACAAACGACACCCCCATTTCAAACAATAACTTTTATTTTATACTTCTCTATACTTTGTAGCAAATCTTTTTTTTTGCTGAATTTAATTTATAATAAACTTTTTAAATTACATCTCTCTCTGTTTTTTTTTTAAAATCAAGGCTCTTTTATGTCAAAATCTTTTTTTAGCTATATTTTAGATTAACATTTAACGTCCCCCCCTTGTGATCTATACCGTTGGATATTCAGGTATTACTGTGTGTGTAACAGCTAAAACAAGAGGGAGGAGGGAAAATTAAAGGCAGTGAACTTGGACGGATGCATCAACAACAGCAGATAAAGCTAACCCTTCAGTGACCATAGCAGCGTGCCTTCTGGAAGCCTTTACTCTTACCCCAGAGATTTCCTCAGCCCCTCCCTCTCTCCCTCCTGTCCTCCAAACACAAAGCCAACAGTCCGTCCTTTCGCTTTTCTTGAGGAGAAATGTGCAGTGGAAATGATCAAAACAAGATACTGTGGAAGAACGACGTGAGCGTGAATTATTCACCGGATGCTTCGTCCGTGGACATCTCTCTTGAATTCATTCCCCTGGCCTTCTCCTCTCCTCGCCTTCCTATTAGGAGGAGCCCATCATTTTTCATGTTACTAGCATGATTAATATAGTAGGTGGCCCAGGGCCGTTCCTGAGATTCTTTTGCCAAACAACAACAAAAAAATATTTAATAATAATAAAATTTAAAAATGGGGTGGGTTTGCCGTTTTCTTATTTGTGTGTGAAGACGGACTAAAGCTGAGGTCCGATTTTGGCTGTGCTTGCTTGCTCACTGATTGGTAACATTTGGCAAATAAAACACAAGAAATCAAACGAAATAAAAAGGAGAACCAGGATTTCCCACAATCCTATATGAGTGTTTTCAGCATCACAGAGAATCACAACGTCCCCAAAGAACGAATGGATCTTCCTCTCGATTTCCGGGAGCATGGAGTGAGTGTGAGTGGGCGCGTGGGGGGAGCTGGCCCCACGCTCAGAAGGAAAGCCAGGTCGCTAAAGCTGCCGAGAGAGACACCAGGAGCACGGGGAGCGCCGGGAGCAGAGACCCCGCCGCCCCGTTACCGCTGCCGCAGAGTTCGAATAAGCTGCCTTGGATGTTGAGGTTTTTGGATTCTTTTCTCAGTTTATCCCACATATCTTTCGCCCCTTCCTGGCAATCCGTAAGGGCTGTGACCGTGCAGCTGTGGAAATCCTCCCAGTATCTGGTGAGGAACAGAACAAAACAGAAGAAGCAGGTTCACTTGGGGCGCCGGGAGGACCCCGGGCCTGCACCCCTGCGCCTCCCCGCTCGCGGCCCCGCAAACTTCCCAGGGTGTCCCCTCCCTACCTTCTCTTCACCGCCCTGGCGTCTGGGCTGCGCAAGGTCGGGACTCGTGGGACCTCCGCCTACGCCAGAAGCGGCTGTCTAAAGCGGGGGTGGGGGGACGCCCCCTCCTGCCTGGTTTTCCCTTCCAGATGCCGGGAGAGGACTCGGCAGCCGGGAGCCGGGTCGTGCACCCGCTGCGGCGCGCTGGCACCTCGGCCTCCGCAAACAGATTGCTCGCCCTCCTCGGGGAAAGCTAGGAAAACAGTGCTAAGCCTCGCAAGCTGCCGCCCATTAATGCCTCTTAGCTTGCAAGACGGGTTACTAGCTCTGAGCACTGCCCTCCCCTCGGGGCTTCTTACATTCTCCTCCCCCAAGCCCCTTCTGTCTCCCTCCTTCTCCACGCCGCGGTACTCTCGCCTTCGCCCTCATTCTTTCCCTCCACCCACTACCTCTTCCTTTTGTTTTCCATTCTCCTTATTTTCCCTTTCTTTCTTTTTCCATTCTATCTGCTTTCCTCTCTTCTGTTCCCCACTTCCACTTCCTCCTCCCCCCGGCCTATTCGGCCTGGAGACTCCTGCCTGCCTCTCTTCTCCCCCGGCTCGGTGAGTGTTAGTGGCCAAGCACCTGGGGCCGGCTTCGTAGCCTTCATCTGCTCTTGCAAATCCCAGTGCCCCAGGCCCGCGCGTTGGGTCCCTCCTCTTTCTCCCTCCCCAGTCTTTTCCGTGGGCTTGGGCCTCATGGGGCTTCCTCCCCACAGTTTTCAGAGTGTAGCGCCAGCCCCCAAGGCCGGAACTGCGGGGAGGGCGTGGTGCCCACCGCTGCCAACCCTCGAGGACCCCCCCACATTCTGTCCTCCTCTGGCGGTCAGTTCCCGGAGACCGGCGCCTAACTCAACCACTTCCCCCTCCCAGGCTCAGCTCCTAGACCCGCCCCCACAACCTTCATCCAACCTGTCCCTTTTGATTGTCCCCCTTTCTTCTGAAAACCCAAAATAGATTCTGAGACTAAATATAATCCCAACCCGTGATCGATTCCTGGGGCGCTGTCTCCTTTCAGAGCTGGGTCGATCTGTGCCTCTCTGTAACTCCGGGCTGGTCCCCACCTCCCCTGAGCCTTGAGCACCAGGTTACCGGTGCCTGCCCTCCACACAGTTTGGTTGTATTTTCTCCTCTCTTTCCCTTCTGCTCGCTGGCCTGGACTGTAAGCACATTGAAGGCAGGCACTGTGTTAATTTATGAGTACTGGAGGGACACGGGGCTTCCAGGTTCCTCAACTTGTAATAAACAGCAATATTTGGACATTAGGAGGCCCAGGGAGGACAGCTTTCCTGCAGAGAGTCTGTGGAATCACCCCTGCTAAAGGATGCCTAAATTGCTCTTTTCTTTATGCATGCCCAGATGGGGGCAGAGTCCTGAGGGACCTGGTAGAGAAGGATAGACTCTACCTGGGGCTGGGCAGAGGTGGGCTTCAGCTCCGTGTTGAGCAACCAGCTCCCCCAACTGAGTAGAGCTGGGACCTAGCCATGGCCTGTGACCTCAGGGAGGAGTTCTCACTTTCCTGTTTTCCAAGACAAAAGTTCTGCTTAAAATTAAAATAGCTTGGAATAAATAAGTTCCAACAAATGACAGAGGATTCGGGAGCTGTTCTATATGCAACCTTTTCTTATCCTTATAGATACATTCTTATCCATCACAAGGCTTTTAGAATTAAATGCCTTTGTTCCTTTCATGATAGGAAAGCGCTAGCCACTTAGCCGCTGTGGCTCCTAGTAGGCACTGGGGCATTTAGGAAACCGAGTAGCAAAAGTGACACCCATTTAAGTTATCAAAACCTAAACAAACATCCCTCCTTCCACCATTCCCTTTTGCCCCAGGTGGGGAGACAGGAGAGCCTTCACAGTATTACAAATGATGCCATAGAAAATGGTCACTCTAACCTCAGGGAAAAAGGGGCATAACCTGCCTTGGCTTTACTGGAAGCGTTATTGTGGGGGTGGGGGAACACAGCTGTTTTTTGCAAAATAAAACAGTGTGTGTTGCAGAGGATGGGGATGTTTTCTAAGGTTTGCAGCAGCTAAATTGCTGCAGGTCCACTGCAGTAGTGCTCTGCTGATTACCTTATTGCTAGTGGGAGCAGTGCTTTCCAGCCAAGCTCTGAGAAAACACCACTGGGCCTGGCTATGAACTCCTACCCATCTCTCTTTACCTTTGAAGCTGTCCAGGTCTGGGGACACCGTGCCGATGCGCAAGGGGGCGAGGGAAACAAGGAGAGTGGCTATTCCAAACCTCGGAATCTGCTGTAAACTCAACAGCGACTATCACTGGACTACCACCTGGACTTACTCTTTTTGGGTAAAGTCACTGGCACACAATAAGACAGTGTCTCAGCCTGTCTGCTAGAAACAGAAAGGGGGACCCGTGTCTCCTTGCCTGTGCCGGCATTTCCTTGATGTGTATTACAGGGGCGTTATGTCGGGAGAAATGGACAGATGAGACGAGTGACTTTCCCTTCAGGCAAATGTAGTATTACCCCCAAACAATCCTCAAATCCAAACTAACTGTTCTTCAGAGAATACCTGGCTCGCTCGTTCACGCAAGAGAAAAGAATGATAAAGATTGCTACGAGGCAGAGAGATTTTGCAGCATCAAGAACCGGTAGCAACTCTTCACGCCCCTTGCCCTGGGTCCCAGCACGTTGAGCATGCGCACCTCTGTGCAAGCCTGTGAGGCCGCGTAGAGCTGGGACTGGGTCTCTGCTGAAGGATCTTCCTCTATATCCCACCCCGGGCTGTGAGATCCCCTTGGGAAGTGCAGGTTCTAACCCGGGGGCCTGGTCCTAGGCCTGGGGGTTGGAGCCAGAAGGCAAGAGTGAGCAGATTCGGGTTCGCGCTGGCGCTGAACGCTGAGCGCAGGCGGGGAGGCTCGGCACTCTCCGACCTCAGTAGCTCCCTCAAAACCGAAGTCCAACCGGCCAGAAAGGACACTTACGTGCACACGGTCTTGATGTTCGTCTTGTCGTCCAGGCCCTGCGGGTAGTTGGCCATGCTGTCGCCCAGCTTGAGCAAACAGTCCGAAAAGCCCTTGAAGACCGCATCGCACTTGCCCGCTGCTCTCACGGCCTGCACCAGATACGCTGCGGGGAGGAGGGAACACCGGTCAGCAGCGCCACGACCCCGCCCTGCCGCCCCACTGCCCTTCCCTGTGCGACCCAGGCTCCGCGCGGCCTCGTTGCATCGGGCGGCCTCTCCCAGTACCCAGCCTTGGGGCGCGCCAGTGTTAAAGGTGAATGAAATACTTGACCCAGGAATGCCCGACCTGCGGCTAACGCTGCGACTAGTGCAGATTGTCGGTGCGTGAGCAGGTGTGGGTGGGTGGGAGGTAGGTGAGTCCATTCCTTTCCTCCAGCTCCCTCCCGCATCTCGCTCCATATCTTTTTCTGTTTCCATCGCCCCCTCTTCTCACCTCCCTCATCTCTTTTATTTCTCTTTCTCCTCACTGCCTCCTTCGTCTCCCAACACTTCCCCAGCAAGCCCTGTCACAGCTCTCACAATGCGATCTTCCATTTTGAGGTGACAGAAGGGGTCTCGGCTGCAGCGTGCGGGGGCGAGAACGGGGTGGGGAGACGGCAGGGCGTGGGGTCACGCAGCTGAACCCAACGCCACATCACGCGAATAAGCCTCAGGCTTGGCGCTCTGTCCTTGGTGGGCGCTCAGCAAACGCTGCTGAATGAATGAACGAATATAGTCCCCGGAAGCCACCAGCAGTCACCGAAATGGATTGTTTCATTATAAAACCGATTGCCTACCGTGGACTCTGTATTCCGAGTAAGACCCTCGGATGCACCCTTTCCCGCCCCACTGGAAAGAGGGCAACCTAGGCGTCCTGAGACCTGGCGCGGGTGATGAGTGGTCTGGAGCGGACAAGGCCAGAGGCCAGGCGGGGTCACGGACGAGTCTGCCCTGGTCACCTCCGCAAAGGCCAGATCCACGAACCGCGGGCCTCCTTCTCTCCTCCTCCTCTGTCAGTCACTCAGCTCCCCAGACACCCTTAACAACCCACCCGCCCGCCAAAACGCCAGCCTCCACTCCGGACAGCAGCGGGGAGAGGCTGTTCTTCTCCTGGTCCCAGCCTGGCTGCTGAAAGTGAGCTCGCCGCGGCCCGGGGCTCCCGGCCCCAGCTCAGGACTCTTTGCAGAGAGCGGGCAGGGATAAAAGCTGAGCAGCGGGAGGAGGAGGAGGAGGAGGAAACACAGGCCGCACGAAGGTCCAAGCCCCAAGCCCCTGAACTCTGGGCGGCCAAGCCCCGAGGCGCGGGACGGAGAGACAGGCACCAGGCTGCGGTCGCGCGGCTGTGGCCATCTCTTTCCACCCTGAGGCCGACGAACCCGGCTGGAAGCTGAGTGCCCAGCGGCCCAAAGCAGCCCGGGCGCGGGGAGGGCGCCAGGAAAACACAGCTTTGGGGCGGGGAAGAAAGGGTGAATCTCAGAATCGAAATTCGCACTGGTACCCACGACTCTGGGCTCCGGCCTGGTCCTCAGCCGCGTTCTGGCGGCTGCGTTTGTGTGTGAATGTGTCCCGGGAGGACCAGATACCTCACTCCCCCGTTCCCCCACGCAGGTCCCTGTCCCCGAGCGCCGGGCCAAACGCCGAAGAGGAAGGTGACCGAACCCGCAGCAGCTTCCGAGAACGTACCATTTGCAAAGAGCTGCAGGAAGAGCGAGGCGGGCCTTGCGCATTTTAATCCGGAACGGGAAGCGCCGGGGAAGGGACCAAGGTTAACTTCGACCTCCCCTGGGGCAGATACGTAAACCTTCTTAAACCTCCGGGTTCACCTTACAGCGAAAATTAAGTACCCTGGCGACTATAATACTAACAAATCGAACACTCACGTAAAATCTTAAGAATAAACGAATCTTTGTTCTGATAGAACTCGTTCAAAGTGGGAATACACTCCACACGTCTTCCTCTATAACGCATGTCAGAAATACAGCTTTGAAGCGAAGAAACGAAATAAAATAAAGTCCAATCTCCCCGTCCACGTCTCTCCTCACCCCTTGCCTACACCCCCAAAACTCGGTGGCGAAAGAAGCCCCTAAAATGCACTGACATTTTTTAAGGGGAATTGGGGCTCGCCGGGGGCGGGAGCTCTCTTGTCACGTTATCTTCCCAGGAGCTGCTGGAGAAGACCCTGCACACCGCGCATGTGTGAGTGTGTGCGTGTGTAAAATAAGAAGTCGTGAACATTTCTGTCTTTTAAAACTGTGGCTCCTTAGACTCTAGCCTTCTCTGGGAGGCCGGGAGGCTGCGCGCGGGACGGGTTTTGCAGGCGCACGCGTCCCAGCAGGTCGCAGCCCGTGTGTCCCTCGCTGTCCTTCCTGAACTCCGCTTAGGCGAGGCTCTGGCGGGTGACCCGGGCTCCTTCCCTGTCCTCTCTGCCGTCCCTTTCTTGTGCGGTTTTCATCCGTTCATTCATTCGTTCGACATCTCATTCATTCCGAATTTCCTCCTGCTGAGTCTTCTTTCGTGTTCACCACACTCTTCTACCTCCCCGCCCCCCCAACCCCCACTTTTCTTGCCAAATGTCAATGATTTGGGACAGCTCCCAGCCATGAATTAATAAAGACCGAGGTTCTGGTGCAGGAAAGGGCAGACATTCGGGAACAAATACGCTCAATTTCAATTCCACAGCCAACAAATAGTCATTTTTGGACCGAGGTTAATGTGTTCAAAACGCGTCCCTCAGGCACGACCACCGTCTTTCCCCCCCCCCCCCAAACCTCTCAAAGTAAGGTTATTTCCTATCGGGAAAACAGAGTCCCAAATCTTGTCCGATTAAAATTTCTATCTCAAAAACAACCCTGTCTCCTGCTCTCTAAAGATTCAAAGGTTTATTGCAAAATGCCACATTCACTTATTTCCAACATTTAAGGCATTTGCTGCCATTAGAAATATTATTTATAGCAGCACTTTTCACTAATGTCAAAGATTCAAAACAACCAGATTTAAAGCATTGTCGTTTTTTAGAATTAAAGGAAAACACCAATATCCTGCATTCACACACTCTAAAATCCTTATAATGTTTCTGCAAAAGAAGATCAGATACTCAAAATCATGTCAGTTGCATAAAACCCCACTGTAAAGAATCCATTTTAATGTCTAGAGAACTCCAAACCTTGTTTTCCTTCACATTTCTTATGGAAAAAACATGTTATGCATTCTCCTTTCTTGTCCCAAACCAATTACCTAAAGCACCCCTCCCCCCCATACTGCAAGGATTTGTCTGCAAAGAATGCCACAGCCTGAACTGATAGGAGGCAACAATTCCGTTTGAGGAGTTTCTTTTTTTCCCCCCTGTTGTCCATTCTATTAATAACCTGCTTCACTTTCACTTTTAGGCCACGTTAATTAATGTTCTGACCTCGCGTCAGAGAAGAGGGTTTTCTAGTGCCCTCTTGTATATCTTTTCTTCATTCTGGATGGTAAAAATGTGAACTTTAAGAGACCCTTGACAGCGTAACTACGACTCAACATTCCTTAACATAAAATGGGGAGTAAATAAATCCTTCCACAACCAACCTCAAACAAACAAAAATAACAAACACCCGACATGACATATTCCAAATACTTCTTAACCCTTTCCTATATATATAATACAGACACCAATGTGTAAAGTAGCAGACAAATGCGCCTAGAAAAGTACATCTACGTAAATTTGGCTGAATTCATCCTCTTCAGTGGTAAGCATATTAAAATATATGGTCTGGAGTTCCCTATCACTCTCGGTTTGCCCACCAGCAGGGTCTGCGGTAGCGGTGCAAACGCTGCAGCTAGGATATAGGGGGGAGGAGGGGCGGGAGAATGACAAAGTTCTAAATGCAGCAGTCTGAGCCCTGGAATATCTTTGCTTTCTGCACATAAACTTTCCAGTCCTGGCTGCCTAGCCATTTTGTTCCTGCATTCACCTTTAGACTCTTCAAAATAATATCTTGCAGTATCACAGGAGCCAGTACATTGCCCCAGAGCGCACCAAACCTGGTCTAAACCCAGAAAGGGAAACAAAAATGGATGTGTGCTTTGGAAAAAGGTGGAAAAAGACCCTGTCCAGAAAACGTCCGGCCGTACACATTTCCTGGCGAACATTTGGAATCTATAGCTTTAGGAAAAACCGATCTGGGACGCGCTAGTCCCCAGGAACTGATGCCCCCACCCTCGGGGGTTTGCCGGCTTCTCCGCACCCTGGGGCAGCCGCGGGCCCGCCAGTCCCCTTCCGCGCTTCGGGCCGGGGCAGGCTGCCTCCCGCCTCCAACCTCCAGCCGGGCTGAGCGGCCACTTACCTATTTGCACCGCGAGGATCAGTGAAATATATCTGCCGTTCAACTTAAGTCCCATCCTACGTTTAGTCAAACCATTTGCGACCGCAGACCTTTAAATAGTTAGTTTAGAGAACGCGGGGGAAAGCCGAAAAATAGGCATTGCCAACAAGTTCCGGGAGCGACAGAGACTTTATGCACGGGGAAGGCAGAGGGAGGAGAGAAAGAGAGACAGAGAGAAAGAGAGAGAGAGAGAGAGAGAGAGAGAGAGAGAGAGAGGCTGGGGGGGGGAGAGCTGGGAATGGTTCACTCCATTAGGAGGGGGCGGAGGAAGTACAGCCTCACGCCCACGAGCAGGCCTGACGTGGGGGATGACACGGAATGATTTTTTTTTTTTTTTAATATAGACACCTTGGTAGAGAATCGCCATTTATAGTCATCAGAAACTGGAATTAATCAGATATCTCCAATTAATGTGCGATCTGAATGAAATTTTGCCTCCCGGGGGTGACCACTTCCCTGTTCTAGCGGTCACCCCTGCCTCTTCCTCGTTCCGGGGGCCCCCCAACCCCGCCCCCTCCCTGCGCAGAACAGGGGCTCCCCCTCCCTTCCCCGCCAGGAGCTGGGGAGTCCTGGCGCGCCCACTCGATTGTTTCAACCTGCTCCCCCTCCTCCATCAGCACCACAGAGAATGCAGCCCTCTCTCTACGAAGCAGGGGGTTTAAAGGAGCGGGAGAGGGAAAAACAGCTAAGCTGGCTCGATTAATTCGAAAGCCCTCCTCGGCCGCCCCCCACCTGCGCTTGCCTACCCTCTTTTTCTCCAACCCAGCAGCTGAGCTCTGGGCGCAGCCTGCAGCGCGTGAGCACGCAGCCCGGCCCCCCGCACGAGCGCACACACACACACTCACACACGCGCGCGCGCACACCCGCCAGCCGCGCCGAGCGCCCCCATGCCCGCCCGCACACAAGGCATGCGAGCGCGCGCACACGCCCAGGCCCCGGGGGTTTGGTTTGCACACGTGGGGCCCCAGAAATATACACCGAATGTCCTCTGTGAATTTTACCACCTCTGACGCCCCAGCGGGCCACAGGCCTTTTCAAGGGACACAGCGACACCTGTTTTAGGGGGCGAGTAGGGCACCGGGGAAGGAGTCTCTGATACGACAATTTTCGGATACTAGTGATTTACCAATCAACTCTCAGCGCTTTAGGAAATTTCCAAGGCAAGCACTAGTGTGCGGACTTCTTTCTAATCTTGATGCGCCTCTTGGGGTTATTTGTTGGGCTACACACACACGTACCCACACGCACACACGTATATCACGTACGCACACGCACACCCGGACCCACACACACCTGCACTGTCTTTTGATGCTCGGCACAGACCCTGTGTGGGTGTTGCCTACCCTGCAACAGAATACTTCTGCAGCTGGGTTTGCGCTCGGTGCAAGGTGCTATCGACCACAGCCTGAGTCAAAATCGAAAAATTAACAGGGCTCTTTCCTTTCTAAACGACTTTAAACTCTGGTTTTCTTCCCTTCTTCTGCACCAAACAGAAAAACAAAAGTCTAAATTGTAGCGTCTTTAATAAAATGCTAAAGAAGGCATTGGCCAACTTTAATCCTTAAGCCTGTGGAGAGAAAAAAATGAAAACGACCCCCAAAATTTTGCCAAACTACACTAGAGGACGTCAAGCTGTCAAACTGTAGAAATGCAAACGGATTAAGGAGAAGCATTGAATTTGCTTCTCCAGGCAGCGTGCCCTCCAGGGCCAAATTTGCCGTCCCCATACTCAGACATTTGGAGATGCATAGACAGAGAAAGGGGGAGAAAGGTGCAAAATAACGGGGGTAGGACAGGCTATGGAGGGTAAGGAGCTGAGGGGGAGCCGCGGGGGTCCTATTGCAGCACTTGGCGACGTGAGGTGTCTGCAATGTGCGGCCTCTTACCCACGTCCCGCGGGAGCCGCAGACTCCCAGGCAGCCGCCCTGGCCCTGGAGGCGGAGCCACGTCGCCCCGCCCTGGTTATGTCACCCGCCTGCGGGCGGGGCGGTTGGGGGCTCGCCTTCCGGCGTTCAGGGGCACAGTGGTGGCCCCGGGTGTTTCCTTTCCCCGAGCTGGGAGGCTCCGGGAAGAACCGAAAACGTGGGCGGACAGGGGGCGGGGCGGGGGCTGGTGGCGAGAGGGGGGCGTTTCTCGGACCCGCCCCCGACGTCTTCCAATGGCAGGGCAGGAGGCTTTCCGAGGGGCGGAGCCTCAGGGGGGTTGCCACGCGGCCCTGCCCACGGCTCCGCCCCGCCCCCTCGGGGTTCCGCGTGGGGCCGGCCCAGCTTTCGGGGACCTGGGCACCAGCTGAGGGTCCTCCACCTTGCTCAGACTCGTGCAGAGCCCAGGGTTGGGGGTGACTTAAGGTTTTTTGCCCTCAATGTCCTTGCCTTCCTCCTGCTTATCCACCTGGGATCTTTTCAACATCATTTTCTGGGATCCTCTCCAACCCCTCCCCTATAACTCTGAGTGTGGGGCGCTGGGGATGTGGAGTAGGCAGGGCTGAGGGCCTCAAAGAAGCGGGTCAACCCTCGCGCGTGCGCACTGCCGCCGGCGCCGCGCCCCGGGCCGGTCCAGGTCTTGCCCTTGGGACGTGGCTGCGCCGCACCGCCCTACCCCGGGAGGGAACCCTCGCTGACTTTTTCCTCTCTTCGCTTTCCTCCCCAGGCGTCCCAACATCCCCTCATGGGCGTGAGTCTTTTCTAAAGTGAAGAAGAGAGAAGCGAACAGAGTTAGTACTCTACACAAATGATTTTCCGGGTAGATAGATGCACATGATATTTTCTTTTTAAAAAATTTCTTATCTTTTAAATTACAGGTCGTTCTGCAGTTAAGTTTCCATGCAGGGTTGATTCTTCGTAGTTCTTTAATTAAAGGATATTGCAGTTCATGGTTGTCAACGCATGCTGTCTGGGAACCGTAGCATCCATGGTTGGAGGTGGCTTTGGAGAACGTTCCCTCCTTTATCAATGTGAAAAGCTCATCTCACATCATATTTGAGGTTGAAGGTGCAGTGGGAAGAGCACTGAACGGGGGCAGGGAAACCCAGCTCACAGGCTGAGCCCCACACTTTGGAAAATGAAGAAGAGTGGACTATGAAGTATTTTCCAAGGCTGTTTTCACCTTTGAAATTTTGTGAACTAAGGATTTTCTAGAATTCTGTGAATGGGATTAGGAGTGGAAATTCACAATCCAAAGAATAAAATCCGTGCTAGAGTGCTTGTTATAAGCCACCTTCTCGCAAAGAACGTATTTCCTTTTGATAAGCAATTTTGTTTAAAGAAACAAATACAGTTCAGGAGGGGGAAAAAGTCACAGGTGCTGTTTGGGTCTGCATGTTGAATTGAGCCAAAGTAACCCCC